AACGTCCTGAGCCCACCTGCACATGAGATGTATGAGGGGGACTTTCCAAAAATACTCCTCAAGAATACAATTTGGGTGGGAAAAGTATTTTCGATAAGTGAAGTGAGGCATATAAGTTTTTGAAATCTGTATTTCAGTCTAATACTGGCACTATTCTTCACAGTAAAACCGTACTAAGTAATACTATTCAAAAAATCAAATTCAGAAAGGATGCTCTCAAAAACTGCATTAAAGACTTTGCAGAGTTACATATAGAACTCTGTTTATCTAAGAAACCCTCATACACTTAAAATTAGTTTCCTTAGTCCTCCACCAAATTCTTGTATTATTCTGTTGAGATTTCTTTTTATTGTAGTAACAAAGCCATAAAGAAATTTTATTTTTGTTATTATGAGTCTTCTCATTAGGTAATTAACATTTTTCAGAGGTAGAACATAATTTTCTATTTGAATATTTCCTTTTGTTGTTACTGTTAAACAGTTTTGTGAAACAATGAGCCATAGTAGCTGTGACACTCAAGACATCCGTAATCATGCCATAAAGATATCCCAAATCATACTTTTGAGATATCCCAACTCAAACTCAAAAACATATTGGATCACATTAAGATACCCCAGAATCACACTTTTAAGATATTCAGAATCATACAACTAGTTTAAATCACAAACACTTAAAATAGAAAATTAGTCACAGCATCAATGAGTCATTTCTGAATTATAAAACTACTGAGAACAAAGTCCCTAAATGAAACTCTGTAGTAAAATCACTGAGATACAGGCTGGGTAACGTGGGGAAATCCCGTCTCTACAAAAAATACTAGAGTTAGCTGGGTGTGGTAGCACACGCCTATGGTCCCAGCTACTTGGGAGGCTGAGGTGGAAAGATTGCTTGAGCCTGGGAGGCAGAAGCTGCAGTGAGCCCAGATCTTACCACTGCACTCCAGCCTGGGTGACTGAAACCCTGTCTAAAAAAAAAAAAAAAAAGAAGAAGAAGAAAAGAAAGAAACCACTGATATAAATTCTGCTCTCAGAAAAACTCTTCAGCCCTAAACAAAATTTAAAAAAGCAATCAGAATTTAGGGCATTCCATCCTTGCTCTATGCCTGGAGAAAATATCTTTACTTAAAAGACTCTGGCCAGACAACTAGGACTCATTCCAAGTGCTTCCTCCACCATTATGTTGCTACCTCCATCTACTTAGAAGGGTTTAGGAAGACAATACTCATTTTCATAAATTTATGAAATGCCTACTACATTGCAAAAAACTGTGCTAGGCATTAGAAAGAAAAATAATGATATTCGCACAGCTCTGTGGTTTCTTCAAGAAGACCTACATATACATTGCAGCATAGAACAATATGTAATAAATATGGTATAAAGTGTCAGAGGAGCTTGGAAGCCAGAGTTAACCATCAATTCTGGGGAGATCAGGGAGCCTTTATATAAAATACATCACCTGAGCTATATAGACTAACTGGAGAAAATGAGGGTAGTGAGTTATGGGGTGGGGGTAGTTCATAAAGGTATAGAGGTAAAAGAAAGAGAGTATTTGTTGGGCCGGGCGCGGTGGCTCAAGCCTGTAATCCCAACACTTTGGGAGGCCGAGGCAGGTGGATCATGAAGTCAAGAGATCGAGACCATCCTGGTCAACATGGTGAAACTCCATCTCTACTAAAAATACAAAAAATTAGCTGGGCATGGTGGCGCGTGCCTGTAATCCCAGCTACTCAGGAGGCTGAGGCAGGAAAATTGCCTGAACCCAGGAGGCAGAGATTGTGGTGAGCCAAGATCGTGCCATTGCACTCCAACCTGGGTAACAGGAGCGAAACTCCGTCTCAAAAAAAAAAAAAAAAAAAAAAGAAAGAGAGTATTTGTTGAAGAACAAAGGAAGAGCAAAGAGTCATGTGGTGAAGCTTAGTATACACAAAGGACGGCTGGGTGCAGTGGCCCATGCCTGTAATCTCAGCACTTTGGGAGGCTGAGGTGGGTGGATCACCTGAAGTCAGGAGTTCGAGACCACCCTTGCCAACGTGGGGAAACCACGTCTCTAATAAAAATACAAAAATTAGCTTGGCATGGTGGTGCATACCTGTAATCCCAGCTACTTGGGATGCTGGGGCAGGAGTATTGCTTGAACCCAGGAGGTGAAGGTTGCAGTGAGCCCAGATTGCACTGCTGTACTCCAGCCTGGGCGACAGAGCAAGGCTCAGCCTCAAAAAAAAAAAAAAAAAAAAAAAAAAAAAAAAAAGATATACAAAGGAGAGTGGTAGCGAAGGCAAAGCCTACTTAATTTTGGAGAAGAAAATAAGTTGTCCCAATCTCTGGGTTTGGTAGTTTGGATTTCTTTAATTTGGTATTGAATTACTATCCTGCAATCTTTTTTCAAAGATAGTGCCACAAACAGAAAGGTGTTTTAGATTAACCTGAGGGTGCAAGGTAAACGAAAAGAGCCCAGGGTTAAGAACAGCTATTCCCAATCAAAAAAATAAAAATAAAAAATAAAAAATAAAAAGCCGGGCGCGGTGGCTCAAGCCTGTAATCCCAGCACTTTGGGAGGCTGAGGCGGGTGGATCACGAGGTCGAGAGATCGAGACCATCCTGGTCAACATGGTGAAACCCCGTCTCTACTAAAAATACAAAAAAATTAGCTGGGCATGGTGGCACGTGCCTGTAATTCCAGCTACTCAGGAGGCTGAGGCAGGAGAATTGCCTGAACCCAGGAGGCGGAGGTTGCGGTGAGCCAAGATCGCGCCATTGCACTCCAGCCTGGGTAACAAGAGTGAAACTCCGTCTCAAAAAAAAAAAAAAAAAAAAAAGGAAGCCAATACGCACCAAGCACTGCTAGTATTTCATTTAATTATAGCAAAATATATGGTATCTTATTTAATCCTATTAATTCAGCTAAAATACATTTTCACAGATAAGAAAACGGCAGCAATTCAACAGTTGGTGGTGCAGAAACACAAAGCTGATTGACGAAAAATAACTCAGATTTAGGGAACTGAGGAGACAGACATGCTGGAAGAGGATGGGAAAAATCTATGGCCTTTGTAAGTACAAATGTAGGAGAAGTGAGTGATGCAGAATCTATCGGGTATGAATAAAAAATAGACATGAAGAAAATTTAGACATGAAGAAAAATGCAGCATCCTACAGAACAGTCATACATTAGACTCGAGGCAGATGAAAAACAAATTTAGTTAAAGTGGATAAGCTAGATGTTTAAAAAGGTTGTATTCAAATAAGGAACCCTAAGATCTCAGAAATGGAACATTTTTAAAGTGATGAGATTACACCATTCTCTGGTGGAAACAGGGAAGTTGACCATGGATCTTGGTTTCCAGAGTTGAGGAAACAGAAGAAAAATTAACTCAGGGTGGCATGTGAAAAAGTCTAACATAACTATGATGGGAGACAGGATAAAGAGAAAAACCATGCTTCTGATATTAAAGTCACTGAGGTTTAAAAAAAAAAAAAGTTGAAGAACCCAGAGACTCACTGACAGCAAACAGAGAATAAGGCAATACAAATAGATGACTGGTACATCCCCAAGAAGAAATTTTGAGGACTATTTGTGATGAAACCAGTGTCACCTGCAACCCTAAATCAGAACTGAAAAAAATGCTGACTTTTTTTTTTAACTTACTTTGAATTCAGGAAAAATAAAACAAAATTAAAATTAAAAAAGGAATTGCCTTCATTACCCCCAGCCAGATCCATTATCCTTTTAAAACCAGAGTAATATTATTTCAAGAATTGATGATGATGGCCACTGCCTCTAACTTTCAAGATGTCTTCCTCATCCAAAAGAGGTCATTCACAGCTGCAGGTAGGAGCTTACCACTGCCATGGGTTTTTCAATCTCACAAACAGGGCTTAACGTGTGGTCTCCAAAATGACTTTCAATACAAAATAAACGGCAAAATGCAACTTCCTCAAATTTAATCAGAGTTAAATAATACTATATTATTTGCTAAAGTTGAACTATTTTGTCTTCATCTACTTTCAATAATCTGTAAAGTTACACATGATTTTCATAATCAATCTTAAAATTAAGGTTATCTTGAATAAGTTTCTCTAGACAAAACCAGATTGTAAGAATGCAATATCCAATGTATTCTTTTCCTTATACACAACACACAGACACACACACACACACACACACACACACACACACACACACACACATTCTGCTAAGGTCACAACAGCCTAAATTTCTAAAACAGGATTCCTGATAACAAATAGGCAGTGGAAGGTCAAAGAACAAGACCAAGTCTATAGTTCATGTAACTTTCCACTTCAAAGTGAAATGGAAAATTACACTTGGCTTTGTTCCATTTTTCCAATTTTCACAAAAGTATTTAAACATATCAGTCTTCTAAATCACATCTTTCCTTTTTTCTGGGATAAAGTTTGATATTACTTTTCTACTTAACTCACTCAGTTTTTAAATAAATTAATTAAATCATTCAATGAAATTTTAAAAACCCTGCCAATTAATTTATAGACAGATTTAACTGTTTTGATAAATAAGAAAGTATTCCATTTTTAGAGTAATTAGTAACTTCTGCAAACTCAAATTTAAAGAAGCAGCTTAAAGTGGGAAGAACAATTTGGAAAAAAAAAAAAAAAGGATGGGAATTTCCTAGGGGTCACTGGGCTTGTTTTGTTCATTTGGTTTACAAAATCAATATAACTGATGGCCATTCCTCCAGGAAAGGCTTATTTTTAAAAACTTGTTAAATAACTAATCAAATATGAAATGGTTCCAAATGTCAAGAGTTATTTAATTGGGTTTATGGAATTTATAGCACTGATATTAAAACATTGGTAGAAAAATTTTGCCACCATTTAGCACACTTTTTTTTTTTTTAACAAGTAACTAAACAGAGTGATAAATGAAGTGTTTTGTCAAAGAACAAACATCAAGATATCTATCACAGAGGCTTTCAATGGTGGAATAAGAAAGGGAGGTCCTGATATTCCTTCACTCCAGCATACCTGCCATGAACAGTAGTAGATTTGATAATATCCCCGGGTAGAACCACTGAGAGTTCAACGTCTTTATCTATCATGTTTTCTTTCTGTTCCATGATGAAAGCGGTGGATTCTGCAGAATCAGCAGCTGAAGAGACATCAACGTATTTGGTCTCAGCTGGAGGAAGTGGTGCCTTGGCTTTTGGTTTTCTCCTAAAATATAAAGAAAACACAAAATATATTTTATTTTTGAAGTAAACTTTTTAATATGATCTAATTTTATAAATTCCAAAATGTATATGTATCTGTTTTTCACATCTAGAAAAAATGTTCACAAATGTTAACTGTTAGTATTGGATGGTTGAATTAGGAATTTTTTCCTTTTCCAGTCAGTATTTTGTTTTGAATACAATGCCTACATTTCCTGGAAATAAAAAGAAACATGATAAATAAATTTTATATTTACTGTGTGTTCATTATAGCAAGCCAAGAGGATAATTTAATTTCTTTGATGAGATAAATTACAAAAATCCTTACTGTTTCAGGATAGAGATCAGTATCTCATTCTCTCATTTCATAATAACTCTTACCTTTGGGCCTTTCACCCTATCTGTTTCTGACCTAGTATGTTCTGCCTCTCTATTCAGAAAAACCCTACCTTATCCTTCAAAGTTTAGCTAAATCCACCCCACTTGCCCCAAACTATCCCTTCCACAAAATTTCTTCCTTCTTTGAATTGATATATCACATACAACCAATTCCATAGATGTAACTTTTAAAATATATTTTTCTGGGCACCAGTTTCATCTCCCTATGTACATTTATAACTCCTGGCAAAAAAAAAGAAGCATGAAGCACGCTAGCCAGGTGTGGTGGCACGCAGCTGAGATCCCTGCTACTCAGCAGACTGAGGTGGGAGGATCCACTGGGTCCAGGAGTTTGAGTCCAGCCTGGGCAACATGGTGAGACCCTATCTCAAAGCAAGCAAGCAAGCAAGCAGCATGCTATGGATGGCTGTATTTCCCACTATACCTAGCAATGAACTATGATGGGCCGTTTGATAAATATCTACTTCAATGAAAAACATTACAAATAATTTTCTAATAAATATTTTTGCATCACCAAGACAACCTCTTAGCTAACATATCAGAAATAGAAGACATTCTGAACTTACATAGGCCAATTCAATGATTTGATGGGTTGAAAAAGTTAAAATGTGAAAATAAACTATAAGTAATGACAAATTTATGTTTTTATTTAAAACAGTCGAATTTTTTAAAACCATTACTTTTATAAAAGGCTAATTGGTTTTAAAAGAATGAATACTACTCCTTTCCACTCAGAAAAATATAGATTTAAATTCCTCCTATTTTTATTTGCTGGGCAAACATAGGAACTGAACAAGATCAAAAGGCTTCTTTATAAGTTAATATGTAACATTCACCCATTTGGTATTTTCAAAATTTAAGGTCTCATAACTCCAACTCCTTTAACATATGACTCATCGTGAAAAGACAGAAGCAAGGTTCCTTGCTTCACTGTACACTGTAAATTCATTTACTAAAATAAGAAGCCCCTGACTCTTAGTGGTATAATAATAGAAATACATTGTACTTCAGAAAGGACTTATTTTACAAGAGCAACAAAACTACATTTTAAAAACTATTACAATGAATAAAAGCTAATAAACTTTGTGTAAAGAAAAATGACCCCCCAATGTCAAATTTCAATTTTTAAATCTTCAGAAATTGACCACTCATGTATAACAAACATCTATTTTGGAAAGGTAAAGATGAGCAAGGCTCAGTTCCTATTCCTGAGGGTTCATAGCCCCAAAAGATTAACAAGCAGGCAAAATACCATCAAATTTGATGACTGCTCTAACACAGGTATGCAGATATTGCAGCTTTGGGTCACAGGAATAAAGCGTAACTTTCCTAGGAATCCAGAAATGTTTTACAGATGGGAAATATGAGCTGGGCTTTGAGGAATAATGTAGAAACACATAGCAAAGGCAAGAAATAACTGATATTTCAGGCAGAGGAAAGTGAATACAGCCATAAAAGAAAATGGTACTTTTTAGAACTCAGTGGTTTCATAAAGTTGCACAGAAAAGTCAAAGAGATGAGAAACCAGTGAATCAGCTGAAACATTTTATAAGTAAGATAATTCAGTAAGGTGGGTTGCTACAAAGTTCATATCCTAAAGTGTCAATAGGCTACATAAATATCAGCAAAAACTAGTCAGAAAGTAGAATGAAAGAAAAAGTTTCTTTGGTATTAGCAACAAAAACAAATTTTAAAAAGACTCTCCAGGTATTTCCATCTCAGCCAATTGCATTTCTTTCATTTGTCCAGGTCAAAAATCTTGGTTCTCACAAACATATCCAATCCACCTACAAATTCCACCAGCTTTTTACCATAAATAGACCCAGAATCCACCAGCAACATGGATCACCAAACACCTCTGCTCAAGCTGCCAACTGATATCCCTGCTCCCAACCTTGTCACTTCGTAATCTAGTCTCAACATAGCAACCACAGTGATCTTCTTGAAATACAAGTTAGAAGACTAACCTTTCAGGGATCATTTCTACAGTTCGTTACTACACAAGTTTCTCTGAATGTGTTGATAAATAGGTAAATAAAATAATGAAATAAAATACAAGTCAGATCACCGCCTCACTTCCCACATTCTCCAAAGATTTCCTACTTCAACCAGAAAAGATCTAGAGTGCTATACAAATGTTCCTCTACTTATAATGGGGTTACAACCTGATAAATCCAGTTGAAATTGAAAACATAAGTCAAAAATATACCAAATACCCCCAATAAACCAATCATAGAATCAGAAAATCATAATTCAACCATCATAAATCCAGATGTCCCTCAATTTATGATAAGGTTACATTTTGATAAACCCACAGTAAAGTTGAAAAATCATACATCCAACCATCGCAATCAGGGGACCATCTGTAATAGGTCCTTCCTTCCTCCCTTACCTCCGGCCTCTCCAGTCTCTTACCTAAGACTCTCTCCCTAGGCTCACTGCATCCAATCTCTGGATTCTTGCCTTTTACTTGAGCACATCTAGAATGCAAGGCCCTCTACAGAGTCTGCTCCTGACCTTAGCACCCTCATCTCTCTCTCTCTGCTTTACTTTTGGCCACAGGGTTAATGAGCAACATACTTATCATGTCTCCTTCCATTGAAGGGTAATGAATTCCATGAGAGTAGGGACTTGTCTCCACCACCTTGCCCACACATTTACAAATGCACAGAATCTCTGGGACCATGCCTGCCACATAGTAGGCACTGATATTTGCTGAAAGAGTGAATTCAATGACGACTTTCCACAGAAGATGTAATATCTAAGGCTAAAATTGGGAAGGAAAAGAGTCCTTACCACTACAAAATAAAATGAACTTTTATATCAGGATTACTTGCCTGGGATTAAAAAAAATAATAATGGATTATGTTTTACATTTTATAAGACGAATGAAAAATACACACTGGTTTTATTAGCAAGGGATAACTGAGAACTTGGCAATTCTGGGGAAGTGCTCCCTGTCTACTGCACACTGCAATGAACTCGGACTCACAGTTGTGATGTCTATGTGTGTGACGGTTTTACTTCCTCAGGTAGTTAGAGTCTGTGATAAAAACCCTTCTCTAATCACTATACATAAGGCAATTTCTTTTAACACAGGGAAAGTAGGACAAAGCACTAGTTGAAAAACCATTCACAAAGAACTGGCTCTGTTGCCCAGACTGGAGTGCAGTGGCAGGTCTCAGCTCGATGCAGCCTCTATCTTCCAGGTTCAAGCAATTCTCATGCCTCAGCCTCCTGCATAGCTGGGACTACAGGCACATGCCCAGCTAATTTTTATATTTTTACTAGAGATGGGGTTTTGCCATGTTGGCCAGACTGGTCTTGAACTCCTGAGCTCAAGCAATCCTCTTACCTCAGCCTCCCAAAGTGCTGGGATTACAGGCATGAGCCACCACACCCGGCCATTTACACAAGATTTCTAGGAAAAGCATCCTAATATCCCCAGTTGTTACACAATTTAATAATATATTTGTTACTTTTGTTTCTGAAAAATGGAAAGCAATATTAATAAGATCAAGATCCTTCCACAGTGAATGAGCGATACAACTGAGAAGATGCTATGTGTAATTCAATAACGCAAAAGGAAAAAAAGGGTCATCAAACAGACGGTAACTTTGAAAATTTAGGTCAACAAAAAACAGCTGAGCCCAGCTGTGTGTGATGGGAAGCAGGATCAAGGCATGCTTCAAAGAGACAAGAGACTCATGTCTTGAAAGAAAAGTAGAATTTAGATGAGAAGAGCCTGTAGGATCAATTATTTGTTAGTTCCCAATTGTGATCCATACACATTAAATTTATGAATGTGTTTATCTAGCTTGCTTGCTACATAGTCCAGTCTAGTGAAAAGAATACCAGGTGGAAGCCTGGATTTGCCTGATTCCTAAGTAGCTTTAAGACTTTAACTTATTTGACCTTTTAGTCACCAGCAAAAATTTGAAAATATCATTACCTACTCACGATTCTCCTAATACTATTTTTTTGTTCAGAGACTTTGAAATAATAACAAAATTGTTACCCAAAGTTAAAAGTACAGTGAAAATAATCAAATGTGTATTATAACCTAAATATAAGAAATTCTAATAATATAAAATAAATAAAGTAATATTAACATTCAATAACAACTATACTTAAAATACTATGTTTTAAAAATATTTAAATATTTAAAAATCATAGTAACTGCCATTGAAGTCTCCTCACCCCTTTTATACAGGAATGTCTGAGCCAGTTTTCCTATCAAATAGATTTTCACATACGCTTTTCTTCATCAGTGGCCTTGTTTGACTATTAGTGTCTACTCTTCAGAGGCCTTTACCCTTAACAGTAAACAATAGCGAATTTCACATAAGGGTGGGTGGAGAGGAGGTTATACTGGAAAGTTATTTATAATAAGAAAACTCTCCCACATCAGGGCAAAAATTCATTATTCAAGCTTAAAAATAACAAGACAAAAGTTATTTCTCATGTAAATCATTGCTTTACTAAAATTATCTAAATAGTATACTCAATATTAATAATGAAAATTAAGGCAAAATTTGTATTATTCAATAATGTATTTTGAAAAAGCAGAACTTCCCTTTAACACATAATTCAGTTAGTGTCCTA